TAAAAAAAATAAAGAAAGATTATATAGAATTTAGAATTTGTTTAAAGTATCACAATTCAAGTGGATAATACGATTTGATATTTGGTTGTCAATCTGTCATAATCACTGAAAAGAATGAGAGAGAGAAAGATAAATAAAGTACGTAATAAGTAATCAATTTCTTTTTTCCCTAAACACAAAGTTGTCCACAATTAAGATTTAAAAAAATTTAAAAAACTCTTTATTCTCCTTTTTAGCTTCAGCTTGTTCAGATTGCAGAGACACTTCAATTTTATTATGAATAATAATAACATTTTGAGTTTGTTGCGTTTGTTGTATTTGCATTGCTTGTAGTACTGGCTGGGTTTGCTGACCATATTGAAGAAACTGATTTCTTGGACAATTTTCGTTAGAATGTCCGTATTCTTTACAATTATAACAAAAGAAATTTTGCTGGGCTTGTTGAGTTGGTTGCATTTGTTGTGCTTGTAGTGCTTGCTGGGTTTGCCGAACATGTTGAGGAGATTGATTTCTTGAACAATTTTTTTTAAAATGTCCAGGTTCTTTACAAATATAACATAAAAAAGTTTTCTGGGTTTGCTGAGTTTGTTGCATTTGCTGTGTTTGTAGTGCTTGCTGGGTTTGCTGGGTATGTTGAAGAGATTTATTTCTTGGACAATTTTTTTTAAAATGTCCAGATTCTTTACAATTATAGCAAACAGAAGTTTGCTGGATTGGTTGAGTTTGTTGCATTTGTTGTACTTGTAGTGTTTGTTGAGTTTGCTGGGCATATTGAAGAGACTGATTTCTTGAACAATTTTGTTTAGAATGTCCAGATTCTTTACACTTATTGCAAAAAGAAATTTGCTGGGTTTGTTGAGTTTGTTGTACTTGTTGTACTTGGAGCGCTTGGTGAGTTTGCTGGACATGTTGAAGAGATTGATTTCTTGGACAATTTTTTTTAAAATGTCCAGATTCTCCACAATTATGACAAAAAAGAGTTTTTTGGTTTTGCTGAATTTGTTG